CCCGGGTTCAATTCCCTGTCAGGTACATGCCCAGGTTGCAGGCATGTGATCCCCAGTAGGGGCATGCAGGAGGCAGCCGATCAATGATTCTCTTTCATCATTAATGTTTCTCTCTCTCTCTCTCCCTCTCCCTTCCTCTCTGAAATCAATACACTGTATTTTTTAAAAAAAGAATAACACCTAAGTTTCTGGCACAACATGAGTCAGGGAATCCAGGAAGGTGGTGGGTTTGCAGGGTGTATGGTCAAGACTTCTGTCCTGGACATGTTGAGTGTGAGCTCCAGGGTCTGGAATTCAGAGGAGAGATCCGGGCTGATGAAAATCCGTGAGTTACCGTGTACAGGAGGGCATGGAGTCATGGGCAGGTAAAGCATAGGGAGTGTGAGAAGGAGGGTAGAGGATGGACCCTGTCAGAACTGACCGTTCATTAGTGGTAGTGGAGGGGAGATGCACCGGCAAAGCAGACAGCAAAGAAATGACCCAAGAGATGAGAGGAAAGCCAGAGGGTGTTTTACTGGGGAGCCCACGGGACCAGATGGAGGGGCACACCGGGGAGGCCAGGCGATAAGCCGCGAGGCGCTGAGGGTCCCCTGTGCTGCGGACTTATGGCGCTGATGTCCATGCAAGGTGAGGAGTAATGGTGAATGTTTACACTGCCCTGTGCACACCTGGCACATCGCAGGTGCTTGGCAAATATTAGCACTTGTTTTCCTACCCCGTCGTGTTCAAACACATCGTGTGGGTCTCCCCCTCCGCCGGCACTCATCGAATGAGAATACACTGGCTCTTGGTCAGTTCCCCACGTACCAGCACGGCAGATCAAGTAGGACGTGTGAGCTGGCACTGGCTCCCAGGGTGCCACAGAGAGGAGCGAGCACCTGCCTCCACGTCGCTGGCCCATCCCTCCCAAACCAAGAGGTGCCCACGGCAGGTCATAGCCTGCACACGTGCGGTTCTGCCTTAACCTGCGAGCCTCAGAGCGCCTCTCCTGCTGGGGGAGCGGCGGTTGAAGGATAAGGCCAGAATGTGTCTGAGCATCCACAGCCTGACACGCGTGACTTCGGCTCACGAAACCAAAGAATTAAATGCAAAGCTGCAGAGGGGGCGCTGGGCGATGCCCGCGCAGGTGCTGAGCCTGCAGCTGAGGGGTGTTTTGGAAAAATGAAGACCTCAGTGAACCAGAATCTGGAAGAACAGTTTCTTCTGGTGCACGGCTCTCCTGCTTTCGCAGGTGTTCGCCTAAATAACCCTCTAAAACTCGTTCTAGAAAGTGCTAGCCTTCTTTTCTGGCTGAGAGATGAAACTGTGGTGAACACAGTGTAACCTTTTCTGCTGAGAACTTTCAGGAGCCTCTCCTGTGGATTTAAAAGGCCTGGAAACTAGACTGCGCGCCGGCGTCGGGCCAGCCTGGGAGACGCTGGAGCCCTCCTGTCAGCTTGTTCTCTTGCCCTTTGCCTTTTGTGCTTTTCATGGTGAAGTGCCAATAAAGGAATCCGGTTACGAACCCCCGGGTGGTAGGTCCTCACTTGGGCATCGCTGTAACTGCACCTCCTTCCCGTTTTCCTCTGGAGCCCCCGAGTAGGTGCATAACAAAAACACGTTGAAGGAATGACCGCAGCCCGGCCGGCGTGGCTCCGTGGCTGAGCGTCGACCTATGAACCAGGTCACAGTTTGATTCCCGGTTCAGGCACATGCTGGGGTTTTGGGCTCGATCCCCAGTGGGGGGCATGCAGGAGGCAGCCGATCAGTGCTTCTCTCTCATCATTGATGTTTCTCTCTCTCCCCCTCTCCCTTCCTCTCTGAAATCAATAAAAATATATATTTTTTAAAAAGGTGACTGCCTTCCTCTCGAGGTGCAGGCGCGCTGTCCCTGGGGCCCTGGCAGTCATCTGGTATTTTTCACTCGCCGCGGTTTTGCTGAATGTTTGCCCTGGCACGGGCTGCCAGCGCCCCCGGTAAATCAGGGACAGGCCAGTCCTCTCGCTGGCCTGACCCTAGAGACTCCGAGGCCCTTCTCCTGCTGGCACAGGAAGAGGTGAGGTCGGACGGGGCACCCTGGCACTAGGTCTGTCCCCCGCCAGACCCGTCACACCCAACACCACCCACGAGTGCGCACGGGAAGGAAGTTGGGAGGCACACACAGAGGGGGGAGGGGGATGCGTGGCTGCGCCCTCTGCAGCGGGACTACTGGCCGGTGGGGTGCTCCCGTTCAGACAGGCCACTGTGAGCTGTGAGAGGTGAGTAAGAAGGGCCCCGCCCAGTCAGGCCCTCGGGGACAGCAAGCAAAGGGTGGTCCTGGGAGGCCCTCCGGCAGCGCCTCGTCAGACCCTGTCTGAGGTTTGAGTGGGGAGGCCAGCCCAGGCCCGAGCAGAGCTGGGTCTCGGCCTCCATCCGTGCACTGCTGCTCGCATGCTCCGGCGCTCCCGGGTCTCTCGAGCTTCGTGGAGCAGACCCTCCCTCTCGTAAAGGTGCGGCTGTGCCCCCTCGCTGCAGTGCTGCTGGGAGCCGGACCCCTCCTGGGCATCACACTCCGGA